TTTTTATCTCAAGCTAATCTAGTTTATAACTTGTTCTTTAAAACATTTTTGAAGTTTATGATGCAAATTTTCCTTTATGCGAAGTAAGTCAAAAAAAAAAAAAGCATTAAGTCGTCATGGATTACCAGAGAACTTAGAAGATTGTCCAAAGTTAAACAAAAATTGTATATTAAGTATCTAAAGTCAAAAAGTCATAAAAATAATTTATAAAAAAACATGTTAAAAATTTTGAAAGTAAAAGAAAAAAAAAAATACTACTCAAACCTACTAGAGAAGTTTAAACATAACTCAAAGCGCACGTGGCAAGTTTTAAATGAATTTACTGGCAACTATAAGATTAAAACATGCAACTTACCAAAAAGTTATTAGAAACAATGATGATTTCAAAATCAAAAGATATAAATCAGATAAATAACTATTTTGCAACTATTTTGGTCCTAATCTAGCAAAAAATATTCTAGTTGTAACTAACAAAACAAATTATTTTACCCTTTCCAAAATTTCTGTACTTAATAATTTTGAAATTTTAGTTAAAGAATTTAAATGTGCTTAGGGATCGTCGACAAATTACACAACACAAAGCTTATTTTAAAAAAATATATGGGAGAACATTTTGCTTTTTTGAGCGGCGGCTTTCGCTGGACTTGAAGGGTTATTTATACATTGATTAATAAAAGACTCTGCGAGGGAAAACACTTTTAACACTTTTTGTTTTATCTGGACGATTTTTATATGGACGACCCCTTATAAAATGTTAAAAACAAATAAAGCGAATAGTCAGGACGAAATATATAGTAACATTATTATTGGATCCTACGAGATCATAAAAACTATACACTTCAAAGTGTTTAGCTGCTCAATAAAACAAGGAATATTTCCTGACCAATTAAAGATTGCCAAAAAAACACCATTATATAAAGATGGTGAATTATTAAATATAAATAATTATCGACCAATATCTGTACTCTCTGGTTTTTTAAAGGTTTTTGAATGGATTCTTTACAACAAACTATATGAACATTTTTCTTAAAATAAAATATTAAATGCCGATCAATATGGATTTGAAAAAAATAATTCCACGGAACACGCAATACTTCATGTAACTAGAAATATTGCAGATTCTTTTGAGAAATCACAATTTATTCTTGGAGTTTTCATTGATCTATCAAAAACCTTTAGTACAATAGATCATGAGATTCTTATACAAAAACTTAAAAACTATGGAATTAACTGAAATTTCTTAAATTTGCTAAAAAGCTGTCTAAGCAATCGTATGCAGTTTGTGCAAATTGACGTATCCTCCTCTACAAGTTTATTAGATATAACATGTGATGTCCCTAAGGGTCTATACTGGGGCTACTGCTTTTTCTCATTTATGTTAATGATCTGCACAATGCTTCAAATTTGAAGACAGTAATGTTTTCTGATGATACAAATCTTTTTTTATCCGGTAAATATCATTACACTATTTAATAGCATCAACATAAAGCTAATTAAAATTTCAAACCGGTTCAAGTCAAATAAACTATCAATTAACTTGGAAATAACTAAATGGATTTTATTTCATCCAAAATTCCAAAAAAAAATTTTACCAAATGGTATGCCTCAAATATATACTGACAATGTTCAAATAAAAAAAGTAGTCTTATCACGTTGCGACAGCATGGATTCGTGCCAAAAAATAATTGTGTCAAAAATATGCTAAAGTGTCAAGACTTTGTAAGTACAGGTTTACATAACAAAAATCCGTATGAGATTCTATATACTGATTTTGCGAAAAGCATTTGACACTGTCAAATGCTTGTCAATTTTTCCACGTAAAAAAAATATAAGTCAGTGGTAGTAAGACTCTTGCTGAGCCAGACGAAATCAAGACACATTCTTAAATTTTTTTTATACATATTAGTATAAAAAAAATTTAAGAAAGATAATTGCAGCACTGTATGGTTTTAAATTTTTAATATTATCGATTGAAGGTCATTCGTTTTTTTTTTTAGACTGTGCAATAAAATAGTAGTCAAAAATTAATTTTTGTGTAATAATTGCTGTACTTATTAAACTCTAATTATTATTAGTTCTTAATAATAAGCAATAAGTAACTAATTAATTTTGATATTAGATAAATTTATAGACTTACTAAAATTTTGAAAATTTAGAGAAACATGGGGCGCTCTAAGCATTGTACTGAAGAAGTTCGTAATTTATTTATAAATCTTAAAAATCATGGTAAAGCCTACAAACAAATATAAGAATTGGTTGGATGCTTACCAACAATGATTTGTAATGCTTTAAAATGGATACCCAAACCAGAAAAACGTGAGAATAAAAGATCAACTACCGCTATAGAAGATCGTCAAATTGTATCGTTAGCGAAAAAGAAGTCATTTATTACTTCTAGAAAAATTAAAGAAAGGCTAGAATTAAATGTTAATACCTCAACTATTCGAAGACGATTAACACATGCCAATTTAAATGAAAGAACACTTAGAAAAGTGCCACTTTTGAGTAAAAAACATATCGAAAATTGTTTAAAATTTGCACGTATGCATGCTTCTTGGCCTAAAGAAAAAATGGCGAAATGTTTTGTGGATTGATGAAAGCAAAATTGAAATTTTTGGTTCCTATGTTCGTAAACAGTATGTTAGAAGACCAACGGGTGCAGCATATAAGCCATAATTTACATTAAAGACCGTCAAACATAAAGGTTTAAAAGTAATGATATGGGGTTGTATTTCTTACCATGGTCTTGGGCCGATACATTGCATAGAAGGTATCATGGATCGGTTTGTATATGTAAAAATACTTGAAGAGATCGTGCTGCCTTATGCTGAAGAAGAAATGCCGTTAAAATTTTTGTTCCAGAAGAATAATGATCCCAAACATACGAGCAAGTTAGCCATATTGTGGTTTAACGAGAACAAAGTCGATGTGATGGAGTGGCCAGCACAATCTCCCAACTTCAATCCGATTGAAAACTTTTGAATTGATGTTAAACAAGCAGTTTCTAAAAATAATCCAAGAGGTTGTAATCAATTGTGGGACGTAGTACAGTCAGCATAGCAAAATATATCTGTCGAACGATGTCAGAATCTTATTAATTCCATGCAACGAAGATGCTTGGCGGTTACTACAAATAAAGATCATGGCACAAAATACAAATGTAGAGCTTCAAAATAAAATTTTTTTTTGTAATAAAATTTAATTATTTTTTGACCTTTTCATAAAAAATGATTTCACTACTATTTTATTGCACAGTCTAAAAAAAAAAATACGAATGACCTTCAATCGATAATATTGAAATTTAAAACTATACAGTGCTGCAATTATCTTTCTTAAATTTTTTTAATACTATTATAATCACAACATTTAGTTTATGAACAATAACGATAAAAAACAAACAATAGAAAAATATATTTTGATGTTCAAAGTTTGTTGATAGAAAAATAAAATACGCACTACTATTTTACTGCACACGACTGTAGGTGTAATAGCTAAATGGTGTCACGTATGGGAGATGAAACATAATGTAACTAAATGTATTATAAAAGAGAATATACTATCTTAGATTACGATAACAACGTACGATATCGAATTGAAGTCTCCAATTTAGAAAAAGATCTAGGCGTTATGACTACTGATGGAAAATACTGCCACCATATCAATTACTGCGCCAACAGAGCTAGGTTTGAGAAAAACGTTAGATTTCTATACCATCTTAATTGCTAAAATATCGTATAAAGCCTGTGTTCGACCCCTTATCGAATATGCAGCACCAATCTGGAATACGTCAGAGAAATACGATATACCAGCTGTTGAAAAAATTCAAAATTCAAAAAAAAAAAAACTCGAACAAGAAGCCTCTAACATCTAAGTTATTCACGATGAAAAAGTTTGATAATAAAACGCGAGAAACTCGTAGCTTAAAAGGAAACATAATCGAGTGCTTCAAAATTGCCACCAGTTTAATGCAAATTAAATGGTGTAAATCAACGTCAAAAATAAGACAACTTGACTAACTAAGGGAACCATCTACATACAGAAGAAACCTCATGCGAACATAAAATCACCGGCTGATATAGTGTGCTTATTAATCTCGTTTAAAATTTTAAACATTGTTATACGTTATGTTAACTGATATTTTGTTAAATTTCAGCAATAGTTATCATTTATATAAATCAAATAAAGTTGAAAAATGATGAATTCTTTATTGAAAGTTGAAGATTAAGTTTGTTTTGTTTCTAATGATTAAATTTTAAGAATTATATAAATAAATTCCGGTAACTTTTATATATATATAATTTTTCATTAATCTCTAAAAAATTTTCAGAATTTAATGAAAAATTGCATTTTTTGAAACGGCCCGAAAAACCAGCATTTTTTAAAACGGCCCAAAAATTATATATTTTATTTAAACTATAAAATTTAAATAAAAAGTAAACCCGCTAATCTTATCTAATTAATAAATTAATGATCGACTTTTTAACAAATAAAAACACAATGTTATTTTACATGTATGATCTCCAGAAAAAGAAAAAAAATTAAAAAAAAACAACAAAAGACCTCGCTAACAAATAATGATAGAAATTAGCTTTAAATAACAAATAAAATTGTAACAATATAAAAAATATGTATATGAATAATGAGCAAATAAATATAAAAAGAAAATAGTTTATGTTTTACATAAATAGTTTATGTTTTACATAAACAACACCAAAAATTAAAAAAAGTGCTGTACAATTAATATTTATCATCAACAAAGAATAAAATAAACCATGTATAATATTATTTATAAATAGCTACAATCAGTTACTGTACATATTTAAAGTTTTACATTCAAAAAAAGAAACTAAAGAGACAAAACCCTTTAATTTATACTAGGTAATGATCTTTGATATGACCATAACTTTTTTTTTGAATTAAACTTTTATTCTTTGAATTATTGACGTTGTAAAAACATTTAGGGTAAAAACCTACTCCACGTAAATAATACAAGAATAAAATATATGATAAATAATGATTATTAACAAAACTACACGACCAAAGAAACAAAACTGTTATATTGCTGAATATTTCTTCTTAGGATGTCTGTACACGGACCTAAAACACGCTCAAACCGCTCCCTGTCCAGTTTAACGCATTTAATTGCTCCACGTGCTACAACCGTAGCGGCTCTTGGACGATTAAGAACCAGAGCAATTTCACCTAAATTAATGTAATAAAAATAATTTGCACATTCTATGCAAAAAAGTTTGTTTGTATATGATAAAATTTGCTAAATGACTAAGTATGTTAAAACTTATTGTGTTTTTACATTCGTCTTTCTTTCTGACTGACTTCTTATTTTCAAAAAGTTTATTATCTATAAATATATAAATACTATCTAAGAAATAATTTCATAATATAACATAAATTCATGGTTCAGAGAAAACTTAGGAAAAAAATGTTTTCAACATTTATGTGTTTACAATTATAGAATAATTAGATTTACAATTATAGATCAATTATAGAATAATTAGTATTTCAAGGTTTACAAGCATTCCCGTCATTAAGAGTTTTTAGAGCTTTTCTTCTCATAGGTAAGTTGCACCACATGTTAAAGAAAACTTAAAATTTATAAACAGCAAATACAGATTCTGTTTGGTCCAATACCACAAGTGGAATACGTTCAGGAGTTTGTGTTAGGTTCATTTCTTTTTGCCCTGGTAGCCAACAGAATGTTGGTACTTGACAAATCTAGAAGTTTTTTAAACTTATACACAAATGACATATAACTATTGCATCATGTTAGTTGCAACAAGATTGACAACTCACATCTGTCTCAAATAAATCAAAAGCTGTATTGATTAATAAACTTTAGAGCATCTTAAAACTCTTGCGCAAAATCTAAGAAACTCACACTAAATCCAACTTTTAGACCAAAAATCTTTAAATTTAATATTTTACAGGTTTTTTGTGAATTTACGCAGTTGTGGCATAGCAGTAGAGTGCTTGCTTCATAAGCTAAAAGTTCCGAGTTTGATCCCCAAAAGGTCACATGGTATCAGTAAGAATAGGTAAAGATGGAAGCTTTATAAGAAAGCAAAAGTTTTATAAGTTAGTAATGAATATCAAGCTATGTAATAATGGTTATAAACTGATCTAAGAAAGAGCCGAGTTAGAAAAAAAAAAACCTTCAATAAATGATTAGTGCAAAAACAATATTAGTAAGCACTAGACTATTAGTTATATAGTAAGCATTAGGCTTAGGATAAAGAACAAAGTAATTCAATGTCAAAAGGATCAGAGGATCATATACTATTTTAGGAATAGGATAAGATAAAGTCATGTAAGGGAGTAGTCAAAGTGTTTTTGACTACTCCCTTATATAACTTTACCTTATCCTCTTCCTAAATTAGTATATGAACATGATGAAGTATAATGTACTTTTTAAACGTCACATTTTGTGATGCTTAAAAAGTACATGATATTTTGTGATGTTTAATATTTTTTTTAAAAGTAGATATTTTTTTGAGATGTTTAAAAAGTAGATATTTTTTTGTGATGTTTAAAAAGTAGAATTTTTTTGAGATGTTTAAAAAGTAGATATTTTTTTGAGATGTTTAGCATAAGAAATTTAAAAAACTTACCAAAATAATCAGAAACACCCAATCGACTAACTTCAATTGGTTCTTCATTTGGATTTCTACGTTGAAGAACAGATGCTTGACCCTAACAAATATATTAAAAAATTAAAAATAAATATTTAACATTGAAAATATATAGTATATTTTAAGATTATTATACATTGCATAAGTATATTTTGTTTTACATATGTTCAGTCGTGGACAATATTAATAAACATGACTTGAAACCAAAAATACACGTTAAAACAAATTACATATAACAATCAAACAAAAAAATACTGCAAAAATACAACAAAAAACATTTTTAAATACTTTTTCTTCTTATATAGATAACAATATTTGATCAAAAAATAACAGTGTAACATTTATCAAACATATTAAAACAGAATCGAAATTTAATGCAACATAATTAAGTGCAACAATGTAAAAATCAACAAAAGTCATTGAGATTCATTTATTAAAAATAATGTTTTTCCAGTGAAATTTTTTTTAACAGATTTTTTAAATATACATTTAAACTATGTTTTTTCTATAATTAATTTTAGAAAAAATAAAAATAATAACAATAATGGTTTTTTATCATAATTGTTACTTGGAGATCAGATCTTGGGTCATTTACAATTGAAAAAATGACCAACAAACAGCAGCCGTATTCACATCCTTCCCGTATTCATCCATCCCTAAACCTTGCGATAAGCTATCGGCTGGTTAAAAGCAAAACGGCAGTTTTTAACGCCAGCGATAAAATAAACTCGTATTCTAATATCTTAACGGCAGGAGAAAATTTAGTTATCGGAAGGCTGTTAACGCCAAAATCTAACCCTGCTTTGCCCTTCTGTTAAAACTGCTATCGGAGAAATTTTCTTTTATATTAAGAAAAATAAAAAATGGTATCCGAACAAAACAAGCTTTTGAATTTTCCTCATTAATAACTGTTAGATAAACTGTTTATTATTAGTTGTACTAGCAATAAATAAGTTTACTTTTATGCTAAATAAGCTTTATATAAAAATTTATTATATTTTATGTTATAAAATAAATTATATTTTAAATTATAAAATTTTTTAAAATATAAGATATATTATATTATAATATAAAATATGTTAAATTTTATGCTAAATAAGCTTTATTATATAAAAACTATAATGTACTTTAATTAGACATTATATATATATATATATATATATATATATATATATATATATATATATATATAAACAATTTTAAAAAAATGTATTGTACAAAATAGAGTGCTCAATGTTCTTAAAAGAACAGAGCAATTATAAATTAGTAGAAAATCACTGATAGAAAATCAATTATGGACTGATGAAAGCAAATGTCAAATATTTGACTTCAAAAAAGGACAAAAACTTTTGATTGAAATTAAATAGAAATCTTAAAAAAAACTGTTAATTATAGGGGTGGCATACTTATGGTTTAAGAATGGTTTGCTTCTAATAGTGTAGGAAGGCTGTTGAATATTGAAGGTACAATGAAAGGACAATTGTATTTTTGATTTACTGACCTAAACTTGCGTCAAAGGCTAAAAAACTGAGAAAAAAACGCAATTTTCTAACAAGACAAAGAGCCAAACCACACAAAAAAGTGGCACATCAACTTTAAATACCTTCTTCATAACAAACAAAAAAGAATTTTATGAGGTTCTTAGCAAATTATGTGAATTTGACAACACATTAAAGCTTGTAAAAAATATGCAATAATAATTAGAAACAGTTGTAAAAAGTGTAACAATGTAATAAAAGATAAACCAGTATTTAAATTTCATAGTTCATAGTACAAGCTTTAATGTTTCTTATTTTTGTCATATTTTTTTTTAACAGATAAATTGTAAGATACTTAATTTCATTTAATGGAGTTTTAAATGAGTTAAATAGAGTTACAAATATATTTGTAAAACCTTTTATTTTATATACTTTTATTTTATATACTTATTTTGTTCGAACCTAGTTTTTCAAAAAACATCAAGTTATTACAATTATGTAGATTTTGACATAAATTATATATAGTTTTTTAGACAACTTATTTTTTTCAGGAAGAAAAAGTTATTTTTTTTTGCTCTTATAAAACTCTTTCATATCTGGATAGCAAAAAAAGCACTAAAACCTAAACCCTCAATCAATGTATGCACTGAAGCCCCTGCAGATGGCTACTATAGTATGATATTACCAATATGATATTTAATGCACGGCAAAGTGCACTAAGTCATTTGTGTGTGTATACACATATACACCGCGACAAATATATTTTGTTACAATCCTGTGTTAACAATTTCCCGTTATTTTATCAATTTATTGTTCAAAAAAATATTTAAAAGTACCGATAAGTAATATAATTGTAAAATGCAAATCAATTTTATAATTTAAATTAATAGAAACAATATTTCTATTAATTTAATATATTTAATTTTACTGTCAGTTTATTATTATTTTTTTTGGACAGTTAGTTATTTTGATTAATTATTTACCGAGTTATTTTGTAATAAATATATTGATTCATTATGTAAATTTTTGTCCATTATTATTTTTTTGTAAAGACTTCTAAATTTTAATATTTATTTTAGAGTTTTATTATTGTAAAATAATCTTTTGAAAATGTAAATAAATTTTACGAAACATGTCAAGAATAAAAAACATCTTGTTATTTTTAAAAATAATTACTTATTTTATGTTATTACAAAGATCACAATATGTATATATATACATACATACATACATACATACATATATATATATATATATATATATATATATATATATATATATATATATATATATATATATATATATATATATATATATTAGGGTGGATTGATTTTAAAAATTTTTGAAATTTGATTTGCCTGAGCTGCGAATCAATGTCTTTTGGTAAAAAAAGAACCTTACTTTTTTTTTTTTAAATTTAAATGAGTTTTAGAGGCTCCTCTTTGGATTCTAAATTTATGACAGACCCTAATATTTTTGAAATTTTTTTTTTCTAAACTATATCAACCTGGTACTCAAAAGAAGCAGAATAATACGCTTATTTTGAATATAATATTTCTTTTAATTCAAAACTAAAGAGAAAAAAATAATGTCGTTTTTTTCATTAAAAAACCTTAGTCTTAGTCAAAACAGGGGTTTTAAGGTATATTTTTGCAAATATTTTTTTCACTAAAAAAATTTTTTTTAAGGAAATTATTATTGATAAAACAATCATTTTTTTCTGCTTTTTTTGAGTCCAAGGTTGATATAGTTTAGAAAAAAAAAAAAGTTCAAAAATATTAGGATCCATCAAGGATTTAGAATCCAAAGAGGAACCTCAAGATCTCATCAAAATCAAAAAATATTTTTTTACTTTCATCTTATAATTAATAGACATCGATTCGTGTCTCAGGAATATTGATTTTGAAACTTTTTTTTTTTGCTATGAAAATCGATCCACCCTAATATATATATATATATATATATATATATATATATATATATATATATATATATATATATATATATATATATATATATATATGAAGAATTTATTTTCAAAACGCGGTATGTTCAATTTTTTTTTATGTGCTGATTTAACTAATGTTTAATTAATAAAAATTTTTGTGCATGAAAGTGGAATTAATTATTATTTATATGTTTATTTATAACTAATAAATTTTCAAAGTTGTTTGTATATATAACTATTTGTTACTATTACTTATTTTTTATTTTGTGAATCACACAAAGTTTTTTATTTAAGTTGGCATATATATATATATATATATATATATATATATATATATATATATATATATATATAATGCTATCTATATATGTAATTTTTTTTTAATGTTTAATATCCTAGCCTTCATAATAAGGATTGGAATTCTGCAGTTTAAGCAAACAGTTTTATGTAAAAACTAATTTCAAATGATATTGTATTTTTGTTTTCTACATTTTCATATGAGTGCATATTTTTTGTAGAGATTGGCTTGATTATTTTTATTTGCATATCTTTTTCTTACTAAATGGATGAACCATCACTGGTGCTACTTGACGAAATTAATGGTTCATTAGTGTCAAGCAGCCTTTCACTGAGAAGAATTAACTTTTCATTGATTCAATTATTCTCAAAGCATTTAACTTTTTATTTTCTTGTTATGTTTTAAATAAACTCTTGAAACTAGTTTTGAAACATCAGGGTGTTAATCAGGGTAACACCCTGATGTTTTATTGTTATTGTAAAACAATAGCAATAAATAATCCTAATATCGCAAAAGCGCAGTAAAAAATATATTCCTGGGTAACACCCTGAACATGCATCAATATAAAAGGCAACTGTATAATTGACATTCCCATCAAAGTTAAACCATGCTTTAAGTTATAGTTTTAGCAAAGATATAAATTTTATAAGTTTGGAGTTGTTTATATATCTATCTTTAGTAACTTTTAAAACCTCTAAAAATACCTGAGCTGGTTATTTTTATAATCTTTTTGAAGGAGGTTATAACCCTTAAAATAATTAAGAACTGCTGAATATTCAGTGCTTCAGTAAAGCGCCCAGCCGAATATTCAGTATTTGGCAAAATCACTATTTGTGACTCTAAAAACAAGTCCAAAAAAAAAAAAGGAAAAAGTTTTTTTGATAATTTAAGATGTTAAAAATTTATGAAAAAAATAATTCATTCATGCACTGTTAAAAATCTAAATAATATTATGAATATAAATCTCACTTCGGCAATTATATAAAAGTCATCGCCTGGTTCTCCTTGTACAACGATTTCATCTCCATCATTAAAACTGCAAGGTTCCAATGCATCACAAATTGTTAAACGCTCCCATTTATCAAGAGATTCTAAAATAGAAACCTTTTCCAAGAATTGCTCATACATCTTGCGCTTTCTCATTGTACTGCCCATAAGAATGCGACGATATGTCACACGATCTATTGCCCATAATTTAACATCTGTTTTAGCCTAAAAAAATAACACAAATAAGAATGCGACAATGTCACACGATCTATTGCCCATAATTTAACATCTGTTTTAGCCTAAAAAATAACACAAATAAGAATGCGTCGATATGTCACACAATCTATTGCCCATAATTTAACATCTGTTTTAGCCTAAAAAATAACACAAATTACAAAAAAACAAACAAAAAACACAACACAAATAAATGAAAAAACAATTTAAAAACTTTGTGACATTTACTTCAAACAGAAAAATAGTTATTAAAAATTTAGAAATAAAACAAAGTAAAGAGAAATTTTAAATTAGCCATTTCACTATCAAGCACTTGTTTTTTTGATAAACATTTCGAATCTTTATTACTGCTATAAGTGTTTAAAAAATTGTAACTTAAAAACAAGAAAACTTCAATATTAGCTCAGTACTAACAACAGAGCATAAGACAACACTAGGGATAGCAATACCGGTTAATCAGTTTGCCAGTTAATTGGTTAACTTAAAAAAAATGTATAATTTTGTTACCGGTAATTAAATCAATAATAACCGATAAATTCGGTAAAAAAAATATATTATGATTAATCTGAGAAACTCCAATCTGTTAATAACAAACCACACTCATAAAAAAATGTAAACAATTCACAAATATTTTTTTAATAAATGAAAGTAAAATATTGGTAAAAAAAATAATTTTCTTTGTACATTGTTAAATATTGCAATAATTCCATTCGGACGTAATTAACAATTTATTAAATTCCTTCTGAACATTATTAATGATTGATACAAAAGTAATTCCAGGAATTGTCGTGCTATCACTCATAAAAGCCATAACATTTAAATGAAACTTAAACTCTATGGTTTTTACGAGTGTTTGAAAATGAAAGAAATTTGAGAAAGAGATACAAGGGAAAGCAAGAAGTATTTTAAGAATAGATAAATTACTTAAGTGTAATATTTAGTTTAAGTTTAGTTAAATAAATTTGAAGATAAATTATTTATCTTAATTGAATTATTTTATTTAACAAAATTGATCTCTTTTTATTTATAAATGATAAAAACATTGTAAGTTACATTAATTTAATTCAACATGACATTAATCAATACTTCTAAAGTTATTATGTTTTTTTTATACCTTATTGTTTTTTGTATTTGTGCTTTCAGTCATGGATAAATAATTCACCTGAAATTATTTTATACGGGTACAAAATGGAGGTTTTTTTTTTCCAATTAGGAAAAAAAAAACTTTTTTCAATTTTGTACCTGTCTTTTGTAGCTTTTTTCAATTTTTTACCCGTCTTCCAACAAGGCTGCAAGCAACTACTATTAGAAATGGAAGTTACTGGAATAGAAAAGATAAAGTTTCTAGAGCAAGATGATGATTGATAGACAACTTACAAGATTGCAAATTATATGAATTAGGAAAGCAAGATAAAGGAAACAAATTCCAAAGAACTGATGTTCGAGGAAAAAAACTAGATGATTAAAAATTTTTGGAGCACTTAGGAACAGCCACAGAAAATGGATGAAACTTAACTGAATGATGAGTAACACAAGAATGAATTTTAGTAGATGGCACAAGAGACGCTAGCTCTTTAGACCAGTGCCCTTTATATAGTATTTGTAGAAAAGAGAAAGCAAGCAACATTACGATGATGTGATAATAGTTGGAGATTGGCTGCAAAAGCAGGTCCAACTATGTTTACAATGTGTTTTTGCACCTTGTCTAAAAGAGAAAGGGCATCATTGGAATATCCGCCTCAGATATGGAAACAGTATTCCATACAAGGACAGATTTGAGATTTATAAAGTTAAAGAATAGAATCTGGAGTAAGAAATTGGCAAGCACGATAAAGAGATGCAACTTTAGCAGATACTAATTTTGCAACAGATTTGATATATGGTTTCCAAGAAAGATCAGAAGTAAGAGTTAATCCTAGAAGATAAAGGGTAGATGACTAATTGAGTACAATACTCTTTATAAATATAGGAAGTGCAGGTCAATGCAAGAAATGTTCAAAAACCATTCAGAATAATTAAGGTAATTAACAAGGTCTGTAATTTTGCAATCTCTAAACAACACTATAATACAATATCAGTATATACAACAATTTAATATTAACTATATTCATGATTGCACCAACAATTAGATAATGTTCTTGTATGTGTAACTTAGAAATTTATTACACAATGTAACAAATCTTGACTTTAAATGATTGTTTTCATACCAATGAACATAAACAAATCTACAAATTAGAGAAATCAAAAATATCAAAATATTTCAGAAATTTAGCTGATGATTTGTTTGGTGCAGTTGTCATGCCAACAGCTAAAGATGATGTGCCAGTAATTAAATTTTATACATTTTATTTAAACACTGAATACTGTTAAGTGTTAAGGGTTATGCTAATATTCCAAAGTTTCCAAATAACGATTTGAAAAACTATGAATAAATATGCAGCTAAAAAATGGCATCTTAGCTGAACTTAAAACCTGAGCCAATCAAGGTGAAGGGTTTAGCACACATCAGATGAGTGTGCTTCTGTAAAAAAACATTGTTATACGAATTGTAGATACATTTGACAATATTGGAGTCTTGGCCTTGCTAGAGGTTATGGATCAAAAAACTTATATTCTAGAAAAAGATACTAAGAAGAAAAACAGGAAAGATATTGCAAAGAAAGAAATAACTTATTTGCAATAAGAAAATATTGGTAACAAATATTTAAAAATTGTATGCAATCATTTCTTGATCGTTCGCCCAACAAGTGTTGAAGCAGAATGTGCCTTCTCTAATAGGGGGCTCATCACCACAAAAATAAGATCGCAATTAAGTGACAGAAGTATATATGATTTATGCTTCTCGTGAGCATATTTTAAAAAATGATGATACATTGAAAATAAGTCGATTTACTTTCTTTTTAAAATGAACCAATTTTATTTTTATCACTTCTGTATTTTTATTATATTTGTATTTTCAATACATTTTTACTACAAGTGTATTATTAAGTAGTGTTAATTAAAAATATTAAAACATTTTTTCAGTTTAACAAGTTTTGGAATTCTATATTAATAGCAAAGTTTTAAAATTGCTTTTAAAACTTCCGCTGTAGAAATTTGCTTTTGTGACTAAGACATTCAAAGTAAAGAACTTTTACATTATACTATAAATTTGATTATGTGAGTAAATAAAAAAACAATACCTGATATACATTTACTTATCTATTATACTACATATTGGTATTGTGTGAATAAGCAGAAAATTTCTTATTGTAACAGTGTCCAAGAAATGTTATCTAATATTAAATTTTATTTTATACACATGGTGTCTAAAAAGTTAATTAACCTGATATAATAAAAATTTAAAAAAATATATAGCAGATTCTAGACTTCCAACTGAAGATGAAATTCAAGTTGGTTCTTACATGCCAATTTATGTGCCAAAATTATTAACTAGTTAAAAGAAAGTAAAAAAAACTATTTACTTAGCTACATAATGAAAAAACCATTTGAAATTTAATTGGAGAATTTATGGAGACAGAAAGAGATTTATTCGATCAGAAACGTTTTGATAGCACCCTCTAAAAATTGAAATTTTTAGAGGGTGCTATCAAAATTGGAATGAATAAGAGCAGTTAATAAAAAGCATTCCAAGATTTTGAGCTTTTTAAACCAGTAAAGTTGTAAACAAAACAAATGTTTTCAGAGGTTGTTTTGCTAATGTTTGTCAAAGAACTTGGTAAACAAGATAATTCTGTCCGATAAGATAAAATTTAACTTAAAAGATGTCATAATACAGCATAATTACACATATTAGGTTTACTCTAACCAACCAAACAACTTCTTGTTCCTAACACCAACTTGTTTCATACCAGTTCAGATCTTAAACAGTTCAGTCACAGACACAAATGGCTGCTAAACTATTGATTAATCAAAGTATCTAAAAAGAGGAAGGACCAAGCACCTACATAAGAGCAAGGACCAAGCATCTACAGAAGAGCAAGGACCTAGTATCTACAGAAGAGCAAGAACCAAGCATCTACAGAAGAGCAAAGACCAAGCATCTACAACAAATCCACCAACATTTCACTAGTGCTTGGAGCAAAACAAGTTGAAATTGTTTTATTGCACACATTTTATTAGGCAGTTGCAGCTTGATCATATTTTCTTGTTTAGTCAGGATATTTAGAAATTTGAGTTATAGAATTTTTAAAATCAGTCTATTCTGGACAAATTTTTGTGCCAGAATGGACTGTCATGTTTAAATGGTTTTTATTTTATTGAAATAGATTTTGAATTTTTTTTACTTTCTTTAAGAGAGATTAAAGAAACTGCAATTTTTGTTCAGTTATATATTTGTTTCAGTTAATAGGCATAATACTCAGTTAATAAACACATTGTAAACGTAGTTGGACCTACTCTATCTGCTAAGCTTTAGCCACTTTCCTATCGCCATCATTGAGCTACATAACCCCTCTAATAAAAGCAGTTTTGAATATAATACTAATATAAATACTATACTAGTTAGTATAATTTAATCCATAAAAAAAATTAAACCTACTTTGACTGTTGCAGCTCTTGGTGTTCCATAAATTAAAGCTAATTCACCAAAACTTCCGCCAGCACTTATTGATACCATAAACTGCTCATTTACATAGACCTAAAAACACAATAAAATTATTATTATTATTCAATTACAAATTACAAATTTGATAAATAACTTTTTTTTTGCCTAGTTACTAAAATAAAAACTCCCCTGTAGTTCTGAAGGAGGTTAGCTACAGCTAAGATAGTAAGATGTTGACATTTAACAGGTGATAACTAAGTTTTGGCACTAACTTAAACTGAAATTTAATGTTAGAAATTTTTTTTTAGATTTATTAAATACATTATAATATTGTCAATTAAGTCTATTATAAAAAAATAATATTGAAAAAATAATTAGAGTCCAGATCTCCCTATTTTATCATGTCTTTTCTCGACTGATAAAGCATTGTTTTATAAAGCATGGTTCTAGCGAGGTTTTTTTATTGTTCAGTTCGAAGTGGTTTTTTAATTTTTTTTTTCGTACTTAATGTTAGTACGCATTTTTAACAACTTGTTAACATATGGTTGTTAACATATGGTTGAGAGCATTCAAATTTTCTAGCAGTTGGTCTTTAAGAACGCGCTGATCTATGGTTGAACATATTTTTTAATTTTATAATGTTACTTTTGGTTGCTATTTTTACTGGATGACCATTGGCAATTTTTCTTTTTAATGTACCGGTTTCTTTTACTTGCTTGATCCAACGATATATACTACGTTTTGAAGCTAAAGGTCCGATAAAACGCTTTGCAATTTCATTTGATTCTATTTCAGGATTCTGAACAATGAATTTGTACAATTGGTTTTTTATAGTTTCATACTTTGCCATCTCCTGTAATTTGAAAAAAAAGAAAAGAAGTAAAAATTTTTATTAAACTGTATAATAAAATACAAGAGTTTCATTTTAAGTAATTTACAATGTTTATAGAGTATGTAGTAATAAAATTATATGCACTTTTATATTTGTGCCAAAACTTAGTTATCACCCATTATCAATACTATAAGATATTTCATAGAGTATATATTACTAATTTGGTTAATATATATTATATATGACATCACTTTCATATATTTCATAACCTTTTGTTTCAGCAGCAACATCATTAAATATTAATTACTCTTATTAATGAGCACTATCAACAATTTATTCATTTGTCAACTGAGAACAGTTTATTCATTCATCTATTGTACAACAATATATTTATTTCCCTGACAAAAATTTATTAATTTATCAACCTTCAACACAATTTTATTCATACACTAACAACATTCAATTTCTTTATAGTAAATATTCAATTATGTCACTTTATTCATTCATCCATTAAAAACACTTCTCCATAATAATTTGACAAAGTTTTTGAAAACCATTTAGATATGTCTGTTACCGAAGTATCTGTTACCGAAGTATCTGTTACCGAAGTAGGATATTTAAGAAGGCATTGAATTTTAAGGGTCGGTATGAATATATTAAACAGCCAAAAATGTTTATATAAATATTTATAATCAAAGAAATAACTATAAATCCGAATTGAGGATTGAGAAATACTGGTCAATATTAAAATTTCAACAATAAAGAATTAAAAAAAAAACTTTATTATATAACTTTTTTATTCAATTTAATACTTGTTTATTTTAATCCAATAACTGCAAAAAACCCAATAATTTAATAATAATCATTAATCATTAAAATTTCAAAACCATTTAAAAACTTATGATACATAAGCTCAGATAATTTTAAGCAATAATAGTTTTCAATACGCAAAAAAATGTTATATAAATTTAACTAGAAATTAAATCAAAAAATATACTTCAGCTTCTCCTGAGTCTATAAAATAAAAGTTGTCTCCTTCATCGCCTTGCAAAATGATTACTTCGCCAGCAGAGTGTTTTACCATAAACATTGCATCAAAAATATCACTAGAAGATATAATGAACATATATAGAGATTAATATTAAATTTTTTTATTAATAAAATTAATGGCTATTAAATTATTAAATTAAATTGAAATTAAAAAAAAGAAAAAAAAAAAAGATAAAAAAAGTTTTTACTTTTACACCAAAGCCTCATTTTGGTTAAAAAAATAAATAAACAAATCAATAAAATAAAAAGTTTTACTTTCTTTATCTTAGAGTTATATAAAAAGAAAACCCTTAAAATTGCATCCCTATAAACTACCTAATTTATATTTATCCCTACAAACTAACTAATTTATATTTATCCCTCAAACTACCTAATTTTCATCATGATTTTACTAGCCCTATATAGATGACTTCATACTGAAAAAATTTTAATCATGGATAATCTTAGCTGGCGTACTTAACCAATGCATACATCAACATACATATGAAAAATATTTACATGGTTTTTAAAAAATTTTTTACATTCATTTTTGAATTTTTTCAAAAAAATTTTTACATTTCATTTCATACACTTTCATACATAGCACTATTTGTACAATTTGTGTTAACATTAAAAATTTAAATAATTAAGGTCATCAAATGCTGACTTGTGTAAGCTTTTAAGAAAACAGTTTTTTTTTTTTAAATTAAAAGGTTTTTCAGACAAAAAAAAAATAATAATAATTATAATGAAAAATTTTTTTTTTGCTGCAATAAATGCATTCACACATAGATGGTACAAGCGTAAACCCAAACCTACAGTTGATGTATGTACTCAAGCCCTGCTAATTATTATAATCATAACAGAATAAAATATAAATAACAGAATAACCATAAACTCTAGTTTGTGATTTATGATTATACTGCTGATACTTATGATTATGTGCTAACTAATTGTCACTAAAACAACTAACTAGCATTTAATTTGTATTAAATATTTACCACTAATTTGATGATAGCTGAGATATTTTATTACATTTTACTATATTTTTTTCCTTAACTGTTTGCAAGTCACTAACAATTAAAAATATAAAACTTAAAAATTAAAATTTTCTTTTTTATTTGTTGATGAAAAAAAAATAGAGCAAAAATGTATGAAAATAAAGTTCAACAAGAAAAACATTTAAAAATCAAAACTAAATTGTAATTGAAATGGCAACAATGGATGTTACAAAGTTTAAACTCCATACAACTTGCTTTATAGGCAAGCAAAAAGAAGTTTGAATGCTAAATAAAATCAGGTAAATCTGTCGTATTATAACTGCATTTAACAGTATAAAATTAAAAGGGCTTATAACCAAGTTAGTTAAATTATTTAAACACATTGTACTAATTCTGTTGTATCTAGCTTGCATCACATATACAAAGTGCAAAGAAACATGGTGTAAAATCTTGAAATATATTCCAAAAATATTTTGTGATTATTATCAGAAAATAATTCTCCATTCCATAAATTCAATAGCACAAACAGCATCATTTCTACAAATTTTTTCAATATAAAAAATCAAAATGAATAATATAGATTGCAACTTAGTTGAGTAATATTTTTTTACTATATAATAATTTTACCAATCAACTTTTTGCTCAAGTCTAAATACTAAAATGCAAGCAACTGCTAAATGGTCTCTACACATTTTGATGTAGATTAAACAGATTAAGAGAATTTTAATTATAACCACTCAGAAAGTACCATTAAGGCAAAATTTCCATTCATTGAAATTTTGCCTTAATGGTACTTCCTGATTGGTACAGGATCTATCACAGGAAGTGTCAATACATGATCTATTACAAATAGCATCAATATATGAACATGATCTATCACAGGAAGCATTAACATATAAATATGATCTATAAAAGTAAGAAATAAAAACTTTATTTTCACTCTTTATTCTTTTTTTCAAAATTACATTTTGCTATGATGATTTGACCGCGGCTAATTCAAAAAACATTTTAAAAACGCGCTAAATAAAAAATATTCTGAAAAAGTGAGATTGTTTACATCAAAACTTCTTAACAAATGTTTTTATATTAGCGAAACGCTTTTAAATAAAGTATCAACTTACTAATAATGTTTTTTTGTTTTTTTTTTTAATATAATTGACAGTTTTATATATTTTTTTAATTTATAATATATAAATTGTTAAGTGTGCATTTCTATAATAAACTTTACTAAAAATTAAAAAATTGTTTTGTTTTTATAAATGCTGACATTCTACGACTACGAAAGTCTCTTTAACGAATTTTAATAAAAGAATAATTAAAGTTAATACAATTAAAAAGATAAACAAAACTTCCTTGAAAAAGTTTTAAAAAGCCGTTACAATTAAATAAGTTTGATCTTTTATATTATCAAAGCTTTTAAATTATTGAAACGCTTTTCAATGGAGTAACAAAACACTTCTAATTAATTTTTCAAATAAGTATTAATAGTCGTTTTTTTTATTTATATAATTATGTATTTTTTATGAGAAATGTTTATCTTTTGAAACATATTTAAAAAAAAGTACAAAAGTTAAAACAAAGATTGAAATGGTTTTTTAATGCATAAATAGACTTTTTTTTTTCAAGCATTTTAGTTTGATGAATTTTGTTTTAGTTGGGTTGTATATATATATATTTTTTTTGTGTTTTTGTTTTAACTAAGTATTTTTTTTTCGTTAGGATTTTTTTTTAGATTAGGTAAGTTTTTGTGGCGCATTTTTAAATTTTGAAAAGCCGTGGTCAAATTGTTATAACATATTATTTTTTGCATTGTCATATAAAGACGTGAAGTCGCAAGACTTCCTGTGAAAGCCTGATTAGAATAAAGGAGAATTACTTATTGAACAAAGTATATTTTGACATTTGTCAAGACAAAAATAAAGATTAATAGAGGAATCTTTAAAAATAAATAAGACAGACTATACACCATAAACAGTACTCAACAACAATAATAATAACAAAAAAAAAAAAAAAAAATTGTTTTATAAACACCAATATGAACGAAGATATACAACAAATACATAACCAGACAAAAAACTTATAAAACAAAAAAACCGATCACAAAATAAAAAGTATGCTAACAACAATGGAAGGCCTCAGAATGGAAAAAAAAACATTAATGCTAATGTGTAAACATAATTTGTGTAGTGATTAAGTAATAAACATCTTCACAGAGTCGCGTCTATTATTTCTGGCATTTCGATGAGGATCAGCATTTATAACTAGTTTATCCCGTCAGATAAACGTCATCGCCACTTATGCTTTACCCCGCAAATTATGCCTAAAAAATAAAACACTTACCATACCACTGAAAGAAAATATGAAAACAAAATAAATTAAAATTCTAATAGAAACATAAAAATATTAATAAATTTATTTTAAGAAATAAAACTAAATAAGTATTATTAGCATAAATAAGCCCAAGATAATCAGAAAGCAATATACCTCATTAAAAAATTTTTTTAATCAACAAAACAACAATAGCCTTAAATAAACTCTAATGCTGTCATAGATACTTCATTCAAAATAACTTTAATTATTATTTTATAAAAATTTTAAAAATTAGATTCATTTTTTATAAAAAACAACTTAAAAAAACTTATTATTAAAAATGTTGTGAATATTACCTTTTTTTCATTTTTTGTTTAAAAACCATAGTTTTTATTCAAAAAAACCTAATATTGTTATTTTTATAAAAAATACTTTTTGTTTTTGAAATTTTTAAATGATTTTGCTTCTTTTGAGTACCAAGTTGACATATTTTTAAATATTTTTTTTTTTCAATAATATTAGGGACCTATCAAATGTTTAGGGGCTTTGAGGGACCTTCAGGGCAAATAATAAAATTTAGTAAAAAATATTTTTGAACCACAATATGATAGTTGAAAGGGAAAAACTTCAATTAGCTATGTTCTGAAAACAAATTAGCATACTGAACAGCCCTAATATATATATATATATATATATATATATATATATATATATATATATATATATATATATATATATATATATATACATATATATATATAGCTTTCTGATTCTATTGTTGGACAATAGCCTGTATTTGTTTGTACCTGCGCAAAACTAGCTGTTACATCTGCTCTGCAACTTTACCAAGGCTCCAATTAAGTGATCACAAATTGCAGTCTCTGGTCATTAAATTCTCAGTTTATTATAAACCATGAATTTATTTATTATTATAATTTTGTTTATTAAAACAAAATTATAATAATAAAACGGCCAATTTATCATATTGAAAAATTAATGAAAAAGCAAAACAATAAAATTACTAATGCAAAAATGTAATTTAAGGATTATAATTAAAAAAAAAGTTATATAAAAAAAAATAATAATAATTACTAAAGGTCCGAAAAATTTGAGTGGCAATTTAAAAATCAACCAGTAAAAAGTTATGCTAAAGCTATTTGAGCATTCTATGAAATATTAAAATCAATCACTGTTTAGGAAAAAGTTTGAGAAATTATTTAAAAATTTAAATGTTTTAAATTAGAAATTAATTAATTGATAATAAAAATAGTAACAAAAAATATATATTTTAAAATAAGTTATTTTTTGTTTTGTTTTAAAATAACTAGAAAAAGTTTAAATAAGTTTTTATATATTTTTAAACTTTTTTTACCTTTAATTTTTTATACATATCTGCTAAAGAGTTACGAACATTTTATTAGAAAATATTGAATAAGGATAAATAAGATATAAAAGTATTTTTATAATATTTTATGATTTCTTTTATTTAAAATATTTGATCACCACTAAATTCTTTTAGATTGTTGTGATTAGCTGCTGTTTTTTAATAATTCTTGATCATACTTTATCATGTATTTATTTTTCTTATTTTCTAATCTGTATAAAATGTAGAGATTTGTGTTTTCTCATATCTTTTCGGCAGTTTGGCTTGTCACGGTAGAAAACGATAGTTTTCATGCCGTTTTTACGAAACAAAAAAAATATATCATTTTGTATCGTATTTTTACGAAATAAGAAAATTTAGTTTTGTTTCATTTCATTTTCCTTTCACTAATGTCAAGTCAGGTTTATCCTGCTACTGGTAACATGTAACCCAGTACAATCTGCTTCATGTCCTGCTGCCTTGTAGGATACTCCTTTTTAGGCAAAGGCTAAGAGATGCAAACTCCGACATAAAACGACCCCTGCCTTGGGGCTCTTGGTTGAGTAAAGGCTATAGATGGTATCTCGATAAAAATACTCATCTTGGGCAGATGTTAAATGCATCCAGCTGCTGTCTTGTAGAAGGCCTCCTAGACAAAGACTTAAGGGGTAAACAGATTCTATCTGTTGACCTGCCTCGCACCCCTTATTTATCTATTAGGCTGGTGCAGATGTATTTTTAATACAATGTTTCCAGTTTAGGATGTTGAATGCTGGATCTTCTTGACTCGATGCATGGGTTTTGCTTGTGTCTCTGTTTTTGTGACTAGGCAACTCATTCTATTATCTCCTAATGAGGATACAGCTCTAAAACTCAGTTTTATGGTTCTGAGGCCGGCTGATAGTCAGGTTTCCCCAACTCTGCGGTAGCTCTTAGAGAGGCTGATTCCATTAACAGCTGAAAAATATCAAAGTATTAATAGTGCCACGCTGCACATGGATGGTGTCCATCCATGTGCAGCTGTTTTTACATGTGGTGTGCATTGCCAAGGACACATTAGAGCCCTTTGTTACAGTTTAGGGCTTATTAATGGTAATGAGGCAATTACTAGGGCTAATAAACAGGGTACTGAGTACTATTTATGTTTCAAGTCAGGTTCTTTAACAAATTTAAAAATGAATAAAGTAACAAAAAAAATAAAACACAAAAAACCAATTTCATCACCATGATGATAGGTTTAGCGAACATCAAGTTCGCTAAACCTATCATTTACTAATGTTCGTGGTCTTCGAAGTAACTTCTCTTCTGTTGAGTCTTATCTATTGCAAAGTTCACCAGACCTACTTGCTCTTTGTGAGACAAATTTGAGTTCAGCTGTCTCATCTTGTGATCTTAGTGTTGACGGTTATCTTCATTTAATTTGTAAAGACTCCAATAGTCACATGATTGGCCTGGGCATTTACATTCGTAAGAATTCATCCATTTGTCGGGAAACTAGGTTTGAATCCAGACTACTCTTTTATGTGCTTTGGTTTAGCATCACTTCACTCTATCACCTTTCTCTTTGTTCTATATCACTCTTCTTCATCTTGACACTGCACTCTTCTTGATTTTATTTCTGATTATATTGACCAAGCCCTCATTCTTTATCCATCAGTTGTTGTTGGTGACTTTAATGTTTATCACACAGAATGCCTTGGCTCTAGTGTCAGTGACTATGCAGGCATTAAAGCCCACAACTTTTGCCTTTTTCAATCCCTAACTCAAACCGTCAACTTTCCAAATCGCTTTTCAGACAACCCAAATCATTTAACATCACTACTCGACTTGTCTTGTTTCTGATCCTAGTCAGTGCTCAGTTTCTCCACATTCACCCTTAGGTGCCTCTGATCACAGTTTGATCTCCGAAAAACTATTATCTCATACTTCTTTACCATCAGAATCCCCCTATCATCGTATATCTTACAACTACCTTAAAGCTGACTGGGACTCTTTCTGTGATTTTCTTCATGATGGCCCTTGGGTAGAAATCTTTTGTCTTCCTGTTAACAATTGTGCTTCTTACATAACTTCGTGGATTCAGGCTGGTATAAAATTCTTTATTCCTTTTTGACGATTCCAGGTCAAGCCTCACTCTTCTCCATGGCTTTCCTCACATTGTGCTACTGCAATTGCCAAACGAAACCATTACTTCCATATCTATCAGCAAAACAATTCTCCAGAAAACAGACGTCTGTTTATTAGTGCTAGGAACCATTGTAAAAAGGTTTCGTCAAAGCCTACTATTCTCAGGTCATGAAATCTCGTATTTCATCACAAAAATTAGGCTCTTGTGACTTCTGGAGAATCTTTAATAGTACCAATAATAATGCCAAATTTTTTAGTTCCATCTCTTTTGTATGGATCAGACTTTGTTACCTCACCTAAAGACAAAGCTGAACTGTTTGCTAAGAACTTTTCATCAATATCATCTCTTTATTCTACTAGTTGGGTTCTACCTGATATAGCCATCAAACAGGTTGATACATTGCTTGACATTTGTATCACTCCAGCTTCTGTATCTAAATTATTTCCTGGTTAGACTCTACTACAGCTTGTGGCCCGGACAACATAACTGTTATAGTCTTGCACAAGTGTTCTCCAGGGCTGTCGCTTATCCTTTCAAAACTATTCAACAAGTGCTTATCAGAGTCTTGTTTTCCAGCCTGCTGGAAAGCAGCATCTGTTATCCCTATTTTTAAAACTTATGGAGAGTGATCTGATTCGTCTAGCTACCATCCCATTAGTCTTCTTCCTATCATAAACAAGGTTTTTGAATCTTTAATTAACAAACAATTAATCTCTCATCTTGAATTTAATAACTTACTTTATGATCATCAATATGGATTTCGATCTTCTCGTTCTACGGCTGATTTGCTAACAGTAATAACTGATAGGTTTTATTGTGCATCTGGAGTGGATCTTCTAATGATGCCCTTTCTCTTTTAGACAAGGAGCAAAAAGGCTTTGTAAACATAATTAGACCTGCTCTTGCAGCCAACCTTCAACCATTATCACATCATAATAATATGCTTCTCTTTCTCTTTTCTCCAAATACTATAATGGGCACTGCTCTAAAAAGCTAGCGTCTCTTGAGTCATCTACTAAAGTTCACACTCGTGTTACTCATCATTCAATTAAGTCTCATCCTTTATCTGTTACAGTTCCTAAGTGCTTCAAAAACTCTTTGTCTAGTCTAGTTTTTTCCTCTAACATCAGTTCTTTGGAATTTGCTTCCTTCATCTTGCTTTCCTGATTTATATAATTTGCAATCTTTTAAGTCGTCTGTCAATCATTATCTTGCTCTACAATCTTCATCTTTTCTCCTCCAGTAACTTCCAACAGTGGTTGCTTGCAGCCTTGTTGGAAGCGAAGATGTTTAAAATATATATATATATATATATATATATATATATATATATATATATATATATATATATATATATATATACACACACACACACACACACACACTATAAATGCGTGTTTAGATAAACAGGGTGGCAACACACTGAAATCGCCTATTGCCAGGGGCTTCAGTATATACAGTGACTATCTTATAGCTTGCTGTTGCAAAGGAGTGCCACTACATTAACTGAAGTTTTGGTATGAGGCAGCAATATATATATATATATATATATATATATATATATATATATATATATATATATATATATATATATATATATATATATATATATATATATATATATATATATATATATTTATATATAGCAGAATACATAAGGCACATAAAAGGAATAAAATTAGCAACTGAATAGTTGATGAAAACGTTGATGCTTTTATGTGCACTTTAATTTGGATAAGCAGTGTATACATTTATGAAACAAAAACAAGGAAGAAAACTTTAGTTTTCTTTAGTATTATTTCTTTTTAACTTTTTTTTAAGTTTAAGAACAAAAACAGTCTGTACATTTGGGTATAAGTCAGTATAGAAAGCATACAAAAATGCAAACCTTATTCTGCTGTCTCTTAAAATACATATACAATATGAAGTATTAAATATATTTACATTTTAATAAAATTTTTATAACATTTTTATATAATGAATGATAAAAAAAACTTAAATTACCTTCTTTCAGCATCATCCAAATGACAGAACAAAATATTTTTCTCAATAGCCTTTGATAAGGCAGCCATTGTTTTATAGTCTTTTGGTATCACCTATTAAAAAATTTCATTATGTATATATGTATGTATGTATGTATGTATGTATGTATGTATGTATGTATGTATGTATGTATGTATGTATGTATGTATGTATGTATGTATGTATGTATGTATGTATGTATGTCAAAATATACACTAATTTAAATAAATAAAATTTTATTAAAAGTATTTAGTAGCATTAAAACCTTTTTGACATAAGAAGCAGCATCTTCTTCAGAAATTACTGCAGCACTAACTGCTCCTCTTCTTCTTTTTGTAGTGGAAGAGAGTGGTGGTGGTTCTGATGGAAGAAGTTCAGGTTCATGTGGAGGAGCTATGAGAGCTTCCTTAAAAATCAAATGCATAACGATTAAAAAAATTTTTAATAAGTTTATACCAATAATTTTCAGTATATTTAATGTTTGTTTATAGTCAACTTGTTTTTTTTAATTTACTGTTAGTGGAAATAATATATTATTTAATAGTCCTTTGACACCATATCTTATTAGACTATAACAGGCCTTGTGATAAAGCATCGAACGCAGAATATTTTAGGTACGCAAAAAGCAATTTTGCGTTACACTATGCTATTTATCTTATGCTAAAAACATTTTAAGATTGGTAATATTTAAATAACTCTATAGATATTTTTAAATGATATTTTAAAGAAGTAGTTAACGTTTTGAAAACTTCACACCATTGTGACAGAAGTTCAAGTACAAATACATGAAATATTCTCATTACTTACAAATATAATAAATTCAGATAAAATATTTTATAGAAATATGGAAATAATCAAAATATTCAGCTACAGAAGAAAAACTTGTCAATTGTTTTAATACAAGGGAAATGATTAAAATGTAAAAAATAAAAAAAATAAATCTTAGCAAAATAATCTAGCAAGCATGTAAATATTTATTTAAACATTAATTTTATAAGTTACATTTGTTCAGGTATTATAAATATAGCGACAAACGGCAATAAAACATTACTTTAAAAAACCTCCCTTTAAATCAAGTTTGCTTGACTCTTAAAAATTCTTATTGCTTGATTATCATTTGCTTGAGACTTAAAAATTCAAAACTTAAGCTTCAAAATAATACTTGATTTTATCACTTGACAGACAAAGTGTTCATTAAAAGCATGCATGATTAAAATAAACTAACCAATATACAAAAAAATTTCTTATACTAATCAGTGTAATGCTTAGGTTTAACCTGAGTGAAATAAAATGTTAGCACAAATATTATGGATTGTTCAATAAGCAAATTTTACTTTTTCAAGATTTATTTATTGTTTAAATTTCAATAACTTTCTGTTTAACAATATCTTCTAAAGGTTGTACTTTTTTAACAAGACGTTTTGAAACTTTGCAAGTTTCTGAATTGTCCAACTTTCATAAGTTAATGTTAGTAACTGAACACTTTCATTCTTCAATTTTCATTTTTTTCTTTTATTGCATTTAAAAGTTTGTCTAAATTATTACATTTGTTCTTTTTCTAAAAATATATGTTTTGTCTCTATATGTTGATGTTGTCATCAATATATGTTATGTTGATGCTACTAAGTTTTCTAATAATATATGTTTTGTCTCTTTATGTTGATGTTGTCATAAATATATGTTATGTTGATGCTACTAAGTTTATTATATAAACAAAAGAAAAAAATTATTTTATTTAAAATAATTTGACTGTTATTATTTCCCGCATATCCTTGTATCTTAACTTGTTAATATGGTCCTCTGGTATCAATTTTAGCAAAATATTCCATTCTGGGCACCTTATGATATTTTTTTTTAAAATATTTGGAATATCTAGGAAATATATCTAGGAAAATCTTCTGGCTGAACCTATTATGTAAAATCCACATATAGGTAAGTATTTATCTTGTTTTTTGACAACTAGCAGAGAGATTTTTTATTAGTATATTTGCTTTGTGAACACTGAACAATAGGTTGACATTATTTATGAAATTTGTTGCATTTATTTTAATACATTCATTTTAATTAATCATGATTCTTTACATAATCTGCAATGATGATTTCTTTAAAAACTTCAAATGTTTCAAATTTCTTGAGAACTTTAATAATAATATCAACTAGTTAGCTGCTTATTTAAGTACAAAGCAAATATACTAATAAAAATGTTTAGGCAACCAACTTGACTATCCATCTTGCAATTTTATTTATCAGTCATTTATTTTGACATAATTTCATAAGCATGCATTGTCCATGATAATCAAATTAACCATTGCATCATCATTCTCTATTTCATCTACTTTTCTTTCATATTTAATACTTGATTTGGTTACTTTTTCCACATTTTAAATAACGTTTACCAAACACTGAGCATTTCTATGATAAAAGTCCACATTTTTATGGTAAAAGTCCACAGTATTTACATTTGTTTAATTTTTCTATATTTTTGTAACTGAATGGAGTTTCACAATGATATTTTGTTTACAAGACAATATATTTTTGTCTGATAAAATCATTACAAGATCCTAGCTTTTAGGTAATTTAGATCCATGGTAATTTTTCATTTTGCAACACTTTAAGAGCTTTAATTTTCTGATCAGAAACTGCAATTTATCAATTAACCTCATCTAATTAGATCATCTTTTGCAATTTGGTCATCTTTTTTAAACTTTTTAAAGTTACCAAAACCTGAAGCATCTCTTAGAGTACACCACAAGCTTAATCGTTTTTATTGCCTTAATACTTATTTATAACAATAACCAAAAAAAATCAGTTATATTGTGACTATCATATTTTTCAACTTCTATGCAATGCTGAAAAACATCTAATTTAGGATTCTACATTGTTTGGATAACCTAGAGTCAAAGCAGATCCTACAGCATTGTTTTATGAAGAAATTTAATATTATAAAAATGTTATTTCATAACTTTTAATCAAACTTAAAAAAAAGTACAAAAATATTTGTGCCATCATTATTTGTATTGACAAGCAGAGAATCAATAAAATAAATAAAGCAATAGTTGCATAGAAAAATTTAACTATCAAGCCAAATGAAATCTTAGACCTTAATTAACAAACAATAAAAGGCTATTCAGTTAATACTAAAAAATAATCATAGTAAACTTAATAATTAATAACTTTTATCTAATTAAATTTTTTAACTTGAATATTGTTTTTGAAATTAATTAATTTTGTTAATTTAATAATACTTTATTATGCCAATATCATTTAGTTTTTCCTAATATTTTTCTTGTAGTATGTAAACAAACCACTCATCCATATATCAAGATCAAAAAACAAATTATTAAATATGCAAAATAATAATAAAACTATAAATACAAAAAATATAAAAAACTATAATTTTAAATCTTTCTCAGTATATAATTTTATCTATTTGTAATATTAAAAAATAATTGAAACCAGGGTTTTATAGTGGATAACTTTTTTTACATGAAAAAAATTTACAGATTTTTTTGAACTTTTTTTTTGTAATATTTGGTGTTTAATAATTTGGTATTTTTACTTTTGCTAATGCAATGTTTCAGTGTAATGTAAAAAGAAGCATATATAAAAATGCTTGTCTTTTTCAATTAACGTTTATTATTGAAAACAAAAACTATATTTAAATTTCAATGTATTTTTAAAAATCAATTTGATTGCTGAAAAAACATTTAGATAAATAACATAAAAAACTGAAACTTTTCAAGCATTATTTTTTAAAACATATTATGTAAAAAGTAATTATAAATAATTTTTGAAACCCTTTTTAGGTAAAAACTGAAGTATATAACAAAAAAAATATGCAGTCGATATTCATGTTAAAACAATTAAAATGATGAGAATTTATGTGAATAATCAGACATGGTCATTTCTACCTAAAATGATCTATAAGTGATCAAAAAAATTCTTTAAAGTTGAAAAATAAAATATGCTTGCTTGTTATAAGAAAATTTTAGTAAATGTTTTGCTTTATAGCAAACTTTGTAAAAAATTGAGCTTTAAAATGTTTGTTTTTTTAATTCAAACTACGATTAATTTAAAAAAAAAATTTTATTCAAATGGTTTCAGGTTTTTGAAAATAATTCAACTCTTATAAAACTATTTTCTTTATGCTTTAAATTTATGTTTACTCTCTGCTCACTGTTGCTTGATGTTAAGAACAAGTTTATTTCATCAATTTACATACGTCTTATTGAGCATAAAACATAAAATGCCATAAAAAACTAGTATATATTATTTCAAAGGTATTTGTTGCAAAAATATTGTTTTGAACTTTTTAAAACAATAATTTGATGATGATTTATTGCTAAAATCAAACATCGTTTCTCTTACCTTTTCTAGCTTATCAAAATGATCGCGTAAGAATTTATATGGATTATCAGGTTTGTTTATACAGAGCTCAACAATGGCATCTTTTAAAACAATTTGAATTCTGTGTTTTTTCACATACTCCTCACATTCTTGTATCATTTCGGCATCACCTTCTTGATCAGACGCCATTTTCATCCTTAAATGATTATATAAACGTCAAAACAAGAACACTATTACCGACCTCGGAATATTATCCAGTGATAGTTTATCCAATCAAAGTTTTCAACAATTTTATCTTTAACGAGCAGATGTTTGAGAAACCCGGGGTTGAACTTTGCTCGGTTGCCAAGTGAATTTTGCTTCTTCCGTTTTTAAAAGATAAAGTCATATCCGTATACTCCTCCTTTTAATTTCAATGCTTAGTTTAGTGTTTAAACACTGATTTTATAGTTAATATCTAACTTAAAATTTAAAACTTGGTTTAGTTGTTAACTTTTAGCAAGAGGAGTAGAGTAAGCAAGACCAACTAGTTGCGTAACGAAAAATTAATTCAGTAGACTACTTTGAGTTGGTATTTAGAATTTGCAGTTGTTGGTATAGAGAATTTGTAGCCATTGGTATAAAGAATTTGTAGTCGCTCTTATCCTTAACTTTAATACCTTTGAAAACAAAACTATTGTATAACATAATTGCAAATACAAATTAATAAAGAGCAGAGTTAAAAAAAAAAGGGACTTTTAGGGTGTCTACTGGTTTTAAGTCCACCTACTTAAAACCAGTAGACACCCCTATGGATTAACAATGTATGTGTAAACGCGTGTTTTATGTTACACATGTTTACATAGTTAAAATAAAATTAGGATGCAAAACGTTATTCAAAAAAAAGAATAGTAATAATGATGGTTTTAATTTCTAAAAAATCTGTCTAATTTTATTTCTTTTAATAATCAACTAGAATCTGATATATATAATTCTTAAACAAAAACAAATATTATGTCTAAATAATTCTATGATGACTTCATACAGTTTAATAGTCAATTATGACGTCTAAGCAATTTGAAAACAGTTTAGACCATAATAAAATTGATTTGAAGATTGCTTGCGTTATATAAAAATAAAAAGTAATTGAAACTAATTTTACTTCATTCATATTTATATTAATCAAATTATTTTTTATGCAACTTCAGAAACGATGGCTACAAAATTATTTGTATTAATTGTATAAAATATTGATTGAAATAAAAACATGCCGTAGTGGGTGGCATTTATAATTAGTTTTTCAATAGATCGCTTTCACATAAATGTAATGTCTTACGATATTGGTATCGGTGTCAATGTCGTTATCGATGTCGGTATAGTTACCACATTAGTTTTGTTAACGATACTATTGGTTTAACTTAATTAAATTTGCAGATTGTTTATATTGTTTACATTAGGATAGTGTGTAAAGAAAAGAGACTATCTTTACTTGTAAAATGTTAGGCATATAAAAAAGCACTTTATTTTTCAAAAATAAAGGTAAGCTGATCAAAAAAAATTTAAAACAATGTTTAAAGAATTGCTAAAAATAAAAGAAACAATTAACGCTTATGGATGCAAAACTATTTCCACCGAAAGTTATTCCATATCATGAGTTTAAAGATTTACTTTTATTTTTAAATAAACCTGACTTTAAAAACGATGTACCTAAATGTACGAACAAACCGTACTTGAAATAATTATAATATTCAAAATATTTGTTGGAATCAAATTAATAATTTTGAATAATTTTTACTAATTTTTAATTGACTAGCTTTTTGTTGCAATGGTTGAGAATCAGTTTTTTTTTACACATTGCGATGTTATAATTATCGCGTTCTAACTCCACTTTTTTGAAAAATTGATATTGTCAAATTATGGAAAGTGTCATCAGAATAATGTTTTTTTTTATTGTATTGAAACTTAAGTTATAAGCAAAAAGTTGTGAAGATAACATGAGTTACAAAAATGTCTCTTAAAGTTTTTATTTTTTAAATCATTTTATCTCAAAATTCAAAAATGTGGATATAGAATACGATAATTCTAACGTCGCGACATTTAGACAAGGTTGACTACAAAAGTTCAAATGCGTCTATAAAAATTAGAAAATTTAGCGAATCCTCAATTTTTTCGTTCTATATTCCGTTTCATACTTAGGTGGTTTAAGGCCAGTCTCAGTAAACGTCGGGTTTCTTACATTTATGTGCGGGTGACGTGCTTTTTTATTGTTTATATCTTAAGGGAAAATTTCAAATTTTTTTTTTTTTTAATTTTATTTTAATTCACCTCCTCAAGGCCGAGAAGGCCACTACAGACGAGGAGGCTACTTATTTGTGGCTATAACCCTCTCTCAACTCTATAACTCCGAAACACGAACCTTGACGAACAAGGCCGCTGCGCGGAGAAACGAGTTGAGCGCGGTACTACCAGGGACGTGGTGGGGATCGAACTCGGAACCACTCGTTTATGAAGCGAGCGCTCTACCAATACACCACTACCGCATTGCTGAACTATATACTGACCCAAATTCATTGTTTGTTCATAATGTTTAATTCATATTGTTTGATTCATAAAATTATGAATTAAACATTATGAATTTGGGTCAGTATATGATATGATGAAGCAGGGACCAATCTCAAAATTAAAAAATTAATTATATTATGAATTCATCACAGGAATGAATCCAGGATTTTTTGGTTTTCGAAATAGCTAGCTTCAAGATATAGAGCAAACTCCAAACATTTTTATAATTTATACTTATGTCGATTGCGGATGCTTTGCAAAAACTTGCAATGATTGAAGCCTGGGAACAAATAAACCCCAAAATCTCTCTCCCCCCCCCCACCTCCGTTTTTCAAACGTGAGAGCAACAAGTTGAAAAATATTTTTTATATTATTCTCAACTGGATTTATATTCATCGATAAATTTTAAATTTCATAGTATAATATTTCAACTGGATTTTTTAAATTTCATAGTATTTCAATTTCATAATATTTCAACATTCAAAAACTATGATCATATAAAGATTGAATTCCCCTCAATTAGAGGGGGTTACAAATTTATTTTGTTTATACTTATTTGACATAAGTATAAACATATGAATGTTTGGAGTTCACTCCATTCCTGGAAATTATCTCAAAGACCAAAAAATGCTGGATTCGTTCCTATGATGAATTCATAATTAATTAGTTTTTTAATTATTAGTTTATTGGTAAAAACCGAGTGCTCGATATTATGTAGTTTGGTTATGCTAATCAGTGTTATATTAATGTTTTGAATAATCTTACTACAATATTGTATTGTAAGACACCCAAATGTCTTACAATACAATTCAAAGTCTAGAATTGTTGTGATATCCATTAGATTTTGTTGATTTAATTTTTTATTAAGCACTGCTTTAATATCTTAATTGTTATTTTATTAATTCTTTAATATTCATATCAAACAGAGATTACTCTTAAGCAGTATTTTTTATTCTTAAGTTTTTTTTTTCAAAAGTTAAGATTTCAAGTTAGGAATAGAAACTAACAAATAAAAATGGTAAATCATTATAAATTTTAATATGAAAAAATACATTGAATAAAATTTGTTTTAATAACAATATGTCGATCACGGGTACCCTGAAGATGACCTAAAACCTTATATCAAGTCGCACGAAACTTTTTTTTGATTTTGAATATAGTACATTTGTACATTCTGAAACTATCAAAATTTAAATCATTTGTGGGTAGCTTTTTGAGAAAACTTATGAAGAAGTTTTATAAATAACGATGTTTTCGTATTAAAATAATATTTTTCCGTCAGCCATTATAGTTGTTTAGATTCTGTAATTGCAATAGCGCGATTGGCTATTTATTTGTTTCTGATTGGCTTATAGTTTTATTTATTTACACTTTTGCCGATAAAAAAAAAATTTACAGTCATAACTTATAAAAAAAAATAATTACATGACCGGGGCTAGAAGAAGACAAATTTAGTCTTATCATTAAGCCCCAAAATCTTGTTGTTGTTGTTTTAAAAGACTTGAACAATATTTATTTGTTTCAAAAGACTTTAGCAACATTTAAGCAATAACAGCGAGTTTATTTAATTATTTAAATAAAAAATTTATATTAACTTAAATTTAAGAGCCGATTGAAAAATATAGGAACGATTTCTTGAGAATAGAAAAGAAATGTCATACTTTGCTAATGATCAATACGATTTTTTTAAAATGCTTTTGCATATGCTGTATAAAATTTTGCATATGCTGTATAAAAAAAATTAATGATTTAAAATGCATTCAAAACAAATGCAATAAACCAGGTCCAAAAAAAGGAATAAATTATGAAAATCTTATTAAGTGATTTTTTTTGGGAAAACTCTTTTAAGAACTATGATCTAACTAACTAGCCTAATGATCTAACTAACTAGCCTAATTCTTATTCTAAGTTCTTATTGAAGAAAAAATCAAGTTTAAAAAAAAAAGATTCAAAAATGATTTTTATTCAACGCTCGACCTAAGTACAAAAGTAAGTTTTATAAATAAAAAATAAGCCAATAAAAACTAATTATAAAAAAATAAGCCAATAAAAACTAATTATAAAAAAATAAGCCAATAAAAACTAATTATGTTTTACATTATTATTGTTGTGCTTATAAACAATATTGTATTTGGACTAAAAAAATAACTTCTTATTACTTTAAGATTTTAATACTAAAATTATTCTATGTGGGAAAGGTGAGTGCTTTATTTGTGTTAATGAGCGTAAAAATGGTACTGAAATAGCAATTCTTCCACGAATGGTATCATGTGAATTTATCACCAATGGTATCATGTGAAACACAGATTATGATCGTAATCACTAATTTAAATCTTTCCACAATAAATCAAAATTTTGTTCTTTACAGAAGTCGTTTTCAACAAATAAGAAAAGATATTAAACATCCTTGCACAAAGTTAGTTAAGCAAAGGAATTTGACGCATTGTTCAATCCATCTCAACTATAACAAAAAGAAAAGTTTTATCAACTATAATTAACAATTTAGTAACCCATGACGCAAAAATAACAATGAACAATTTTGACCCTAAGAAGCTCATTGTTTCTTTTGGGGTAGTTAATCAAAAACAACTTACTTTTCACACTCAAAATTGAAACAACTACAGAGCAAATTTCATACAAGGTATAGATTGTCTACAACAAAATTCAAAAAATATAAATATTTTAAAAAAACATTAATTTTTTTTAACATTTGTATCAAATTTACTAGTGACTA